CCTGGGCCGGAAACGGCTTGAAGAACGTTTGGGGAGACACACCACGCGTGGTTGAAATGCAGTCGGAAGCGGGTGCTATCGCTACCGTGCATGGCGCTTTGCAGACGGGTGCCCTTTCAACATCGTTTACGTCATCGCAGGGTTTGCTGCTGATGATCCCGACGCTGTACAAACTGGCAGGCGAACTCACACCGTTTGTCCTGCATGTAGCGGCACGTACCGTTGCCACACATGCACTCTCTATTTTTGGCGATCATTCCGACGTCATGGCGGTGCGCCAGACGGGTTGCGCGATGTTGTGTGCGGCAAACGTCCAGGAAGCGCAAGACTTTGCTCTCATTTCGCACATCGCGACGCTGAAAAGCCGCGTGCCATTTATTCATTTCTTTGATGGTTTCCGCACGTCCCACGAAATCAACAAAATTGTCCCGCTGGCCGATGACACGATTCTTGATCTCATGCCGCAGGCCGAAATTGATGCTCATCGCGCCCGGGCACTCAACCCGGAACATCCGGTGATCCGCGGTACGTCCGCCAATCCTGACACTTATTTCCAGTCTCGCGAAGCCACCAACCCATGGTACGACGCGGTCTATGACCATGTTGAACAGGCGATGAATGATTTCTCTGCCGCGACAGGTCGTCAGTATCAGCCGTTTGAATATTACGGGCATCCGCAAGCGGAACGGGTGATTATCCTGATGGGCTCTGCCATTGGCACCTGTGAAGAAGTGGTTGATGAATTGCTAACCCGTGGCGAAAAAGTCGGCGTGCTGAAAGTTCGCCTGTACCGCCCCTTCTCAGCCAAACACTTGCTACAAACTCTACCGGGATCCGTACGTAGCGTGGCGGTACTGGACAGAACCAAAGAACCCGGTGCCCAGGCAGAACCGCTCTATCTGGATGTGATGACCGCACTGGCAGAAGCCTTTAATAATGGCAAGCGCGAAACTCTGCCCCGTGTCATTGGTGGGCGCTATGGTCTTTCATCCAAAGAATTTGGCCCGGACTGTGTACTGGCGGTATTTGCCGAGCTCAACGCGGCTAAACCGAAAGCGCGCTTTACGGTTGGTATTTACGATGATGTAACCAATCTGTCCCTGCCGTTGCCGGAAAACACCCAGCCAAACTCGGCGAAACTTGAAGCCTTGTTTTATGGCCTTGGTAGTGATGGCAGCGTTTCCGCGACCAAAAACAATATCAAGATTATCGGTAATTCCACGCCGTGGTACGCACAGGGCTATTTTGTTTACGACTCCAAAAAGGCGGGCGGCCTGACGGTTTCTCACCTTCGAGTGAGCGAACAGCCGATTCGTTCCGCTTATCTCATTTCCCAGGCTGATTTTGTTGGCTGCCACCAGTTGCAGTTTATCGATAAATATCAGATGGCTGAGCGTTTAAAACCTGGCGGCATTTTCCTGCTCAACACACCGTACAGCGCAGATGAAGTGTGGTCGCGCTTGCCGCAAGAAGTTCAGGCCGTGTTAAACCAGAAAAAAGCGCGCTTCTATGTGATTAACGCGGCGAAAATCGCCCGCGAATGTGGCCTGGCGGCCCGTATTAATACCGTCATGCAGATGGCTTTTTTCCATCTGACGCAAATTCTGCCTGGCGATAGCGCCCTCGCAGAATTGCAGGGTGCGATTGCCAAAAGTTACAGTAGCAAAGGCCAGGATCTGGTGGAACGCAATTGGCAGGCTCTGGCGCTGGCGCGTGAATCCGTAGAAGAAGTTCCGTTGCAACCGGTAAATCCGCACAGCGCCAATCGACCGCCAGTGGTTTCCGATGCCGCT